AAAATTTCTTTTTGATTAAGATGTATTGCTGGAGAATCATGTTCCTTTGGAGATGTCATATATCCTTGCTTTTTTGTGTTTCTTGTGTTCTTATGTTGATATCTGCACATCTGGTATAACAGTTTTTTCTTCCCATTTTTGAATTTACTTCCATAGAGGAGGATGCTTTTCTGAAGATATTTCTATGGTGTTCATTGGCTACAGCATTTTGGCTTTTATTCTAGGTACTTTAGCTGTAGTGTTAGTGGTATCTGTGATTTCATCAGTGGGTTAGGGTGCAGTTATTGGAGTCTTTGGTGAAGTTGTGCTGTGGAATGCCAGGTGGGCCAGTCTATAGGCCCCAGATGTGGCAGTGGTGGTCTGAGTATGCCTATCCTTGTGTCCCAAGGTTGTGTATGCTGGCACTGGTGTTGGTGATTACCAGATTGCTGATTCTTGGGCCTCCACATGGCTTGCTTGGATACTGGCAGTGGTAGTGGTGGACTGAGCAGGCAGGTGGGTTCCTGGGTCCCTGGACAGCTAGCATGGCACAAGTGATGGCAGTAACAGTGGCAGGATAATTATCTGGGTTCTGAGGGTTGTCCCTTTATGTTGGCAGTGGCTGTGATGGGCTGTGTAGGACAGTCTCCAGGACTGCAGGTGGTACTTTCAAGTAGGTGCTAACTGAGGTGATGGCAGCCAAGAGTTTAGGCCCAACCTCAGGACCCCAGAAGGAGTGCTCAGGTGCCCAAGGTGCCCTTGTCACTCTCCAAGGCCCTGAGCTATGTGCTCTGTCTTAGAGAAGGGGGTGAAGCTGGTTTGGGTGGGCCTATGCTTAGGCCCTTCAATGGTGGGAGCAGGTACCAGTCATGGTGGGTAGGGGTCAGGGCAATCCTCAGGTCTCAGGTGGAATGCATGGGTGAGGAGTGGTAGCAGCTATGCTGAGACCCTCCCACTGGAGAGGGTGGGGCTGACCTCTGCCACCACAGCCTGGGCCAATAGGTAGGGAATATGCACCTGTCTCATTTTTCAGCCCTGGTGGGGCTCACCCCACAGCCCTGGCAGCAGCTGGCCACACCTAGCTTGAGCCCTCACCTTGCTGCAGGAGCCCCCACCGAGCTTGTGACCAAGTCCCAGTGGCAATTTGTGTCTTGTGTTCATCCCAGTCTCAGTCCCGGCAGCACTCACTTCCTAGCATTGGCAGCTGCGGCCCATGCCTCATTTGATTCTCAGTCTCAGCTGTGGGAGCTCATTCCCAGTTTGTGCCCCAGTCTCAGCAGCAAAAGCTTGAGTTTCCCTAATGCCTCAGTCTTGGTGCTCCTGGCCACCATGATAGCATGTGCATCTGGCAAAGGCTAGGATTTAAAATGGTACCTTGCTGTAACTGATTAGGTCTCAGAAAAAGTATGGGACCCAGCATGAGTTTCCTTCCTGAGACAGTTTTGCCCCCCAATCTCCTGGCAGCTCCCTATATATGTTTTCAGGGCTTAAGAGGGTTGAGGAGCTCTTCCATGGCCAGGACTGCATGATTCCATGGTGGGAATGAAGGCTACTGGAAGACTCTCACTTACTCTTTTCCCACATTGGGAAGTCACGCTTGGCTACCAGCTGATCCTAGCCAAGCAGGCTGCCTCTCCTCCTCCTTCCTTGCTTTTGGTGTTTCCTGTAACTTTTCTGTTGAGTTCTAGTGTTCTCTTTTGGATAATGTATTCAAGATTTGGGTTCTTCTAAGTGAAGGAGGTAAGCATGAAATGCTTCTGGTCAGTCATCTTGAAGCTCCTCCACCTCCTCTTATGTATTCTATTTCCTTTGACTTTTCTTATAAAATTTAGGAAAAACTTATCTATATTAACAAAAATCTTGCTGGATGATTGATATAAATTGCATTAAATCCATATATCAATTTGGGGGAAAATTGGCGTCTTAACTACATTGAATCTTCTAATGCATGAACACAGTATGTCTCTCCATTTAGTTAGATCTTTGTTTTCGTTTACCATTGTAGAACTTTCCCTATACAAACCCTGAATATATTTTGTTAGGTATAGACCTATTTTTCTGATTATAATTTTAATTTCTGTGTATGTGTTTGTTGCTTGTATATAGAAATACAATTTTTTTTTTTTTTGAGATGGAGTTTTGCTCTGTCGCACAGGCTGGAGTGCAGTCATGCCATCTTGGCTCACTGCAAACTCCACCTCCTGGTTTCAAGCAATTCTCCTACCTCAGCCTCCTGAGTAGCTGGGATTATAGGCACACACCACCTTGCCCAGCCAGTTTTTGTATTTTTAGTAGAGATGGGTTTTTATCATGTTGGCCAGGCTGGTCTCAAACTCCTGAGCTCAGGCAGTCTGCCCTCCTTGGCCTCCCAGAGTGCTGAAATTACAGGTGTGAGCCAGCATGCCCAGCCTAGTTTTAGAGTTTTTAAGATTCTGTGGGATTTTTCTACATATCATATCATGTCATATATCATTTGCATACAGGGGGAGTTTTACTACTTCCTTTATAATCTATATTTCTTTTACTTCTTTTGTTTACCATATTACAATGGCTAGATCTTTCAGTGGTATGTTGAATAAGAGTGTTAAGAGTGGACATTCTTGTCTGTTACTGATCTTGGAGAGGAAGCATTCAGTCCTTCACCATTAAGTAAGATGTTAGCTGTAGGTTTTTTTGGAGATGGTCTTTATCAAGTTGTGGTAACTCCCTGCTGCTCTTAACTTGAAGAGAATTTTTGGTTTTGTCTTGTGTTTCCTTTTTTTCTTTCTTTTTTTGAGATGGAGTCTTGCTCTGTCACCCAAGCTGTAGTGCAATGGCACCATCTCGGCTCACTGCAACCTCCATCTCCTGGGTTCAAGCGATTCTTCTGCCTCAGCCTCCTGAGTAGCTGGGATTACAGGTGCAAGCCACCCTGCCAGGCTAATTTTTCTATTTTTAATAGAGACTGGGTTTTACCATGTTGGTTAGGCTGGTCTCAAAATCCTGACCTCAGGTGATCTGCCTGTCTCGCCCTCCTAAAGTGCTGGGATTATTGGCATGAGCCACCACACTGGGCCTGTTTTGTCTTGTTTTTCATAATGAATGGGTGTTGGGTTTTGTAAATACTTTTTCTGTGTCAATTGATATGATTTATGATTTTATTCTTTAGTTTACTGACATGGCAAATTACATTAGCTGATTTTCAAATGTTGAACCAGCCCTGCATACATAGAACAAATCCCATTTTGTCTTGGTGTACATTATTTAATTTGGATTGCTAATATTTTGTTGAAGATTTTTGTCTAAGTTCACAAGATATATTTGTATGTAGGTTATGTATATATTGTCCTTGTCTGATTTTGGTATTGGGTAATACTAGCCTCATAAAGTTAGTTGGAAACTGCTCTTTCCTATTCTGCGTTTTAGAGGAAATTGCATTTGTTGATGTTGTCTTTTTTAAATGTTTGGTAACATTTTCCATTAAAACCACCTGTGCCTAGAGATTTCATTTTTGAGAGCTTTAAATTATGTAAGTAAATTATATTAATGAATGGATTTGTTGACATATAATTTAATTATGTGATTAGTTATATAAAATGTAGTTTTATATTTAATAGTTCTATATTCCCCGTATAGCTGTCTAGAGAATTTTTTTTTTTTAATTTACCAGAGGAAGGAGTCAGAGGGGACCATTCCCTATCCCTGTCCTCCTGTACCACTCTACCCCTTTTCCTTTCCATCCCTTGGGTGATTTCAAGCTTAGGGGTGCAAGCCTGCCTTGTGGGTGCCCCAGGTGTTTCCTCACAGAACAGACCATGGATGCTGAGGGTGAGATGGAGGTATGTCACTAGGGTCCTACATTAGAGAAGGGGGAGGGAAACCAGGTGGGGTGTCCCCAGAAGCCTTCCATCCCTTTGTGGTCACAGGGCTTGATAACGAACAGCAGGTGCCAATCTGGAGATAGGCACAGAGATGAAAAGTCCCAAATGAGGATCGCAGCCCCACCCCCCTATGCCGTTGATACTATCACTGTACTGTAACAGCAAAGGGAGGCAGGTGTTGGGTATTTGAAGGGAACATAGCAGAGAGTGCAGACTGCACCTTGGGATGACATGCGAGGATGAGCTTTTTGGCTTTGTGGCTGCCCAAAGTCCTTATGAGCATGTTTAGCTCTATAGGCCTCTTTCATTCTCTACAAATCATAGACCCACTGTGTGCATCCTCTGGGCACACTGTCTGGGCACACTCTGGGCATACTTGTGTCTCAGACTGGCTCAGGGGCCGCATTCTTTCTGGGGTAGAGTCGCAGAGCTGGCTTGGTGTCCCACTTGAATGGGCTCTCTCCATAGCAGATGTGAGCCTGTACTTCCCACCTGGCAGCTATGCCCCATTTGGCCTTGTTGAGGGACATGAAAGGATGTGCTTTGGCATCTGAGGATGGCAGTAGCAGGAGAGGGTGGTGATGAGAATGTTGTAGTCTGCATGAGTTTTCCATAAATGGTTAAGAGGCTCATGTTTATGCAACTTGCTTGAGGCTGCATAGTAAGTGGCAGAGTCAAGGCCTGGATCCAGGTCAGTCTAACACAAGAGTCATAAATAATGTGACTCAGTTTTCTCATTTGTGCAATGGAGAAACTAATGGTCTTTACCTCCCAGTATGGTCATGAGGGTTCAATGAGACAATCATGTAACAATCCAGCACATGGCCTAGATAGAACATGGTAAGTACTCAATAAATATTAGTTATTATTAATATTGATAACGTCATTTATCAACAAAGTCAGAATTATAAGATGGTAGCAAAAATTGATCATTAACATAAGTATGAAAAAATTAGAGTTGTTTCTGGTTTGTAAACATGCGAGGCCTTTCTTTTTTTGGAGACAGAATCTCATTCTGTTGCTCAGGCTGGAGTGCAGTGGTGCAATCTCAGCTCACTGCCACCTCCGCAGGTGGGGCCTTTCATTAGACACTAATTTGAAGCTATGGCATTCCTCCACTACAAGCCTACCTGTCAGCCAGCCTATCTACCTTAATCCTAGATGAAGTGGCTGTTCTGCCTGCCCCTCAGAACCTCTCTGTACTCTCAACCAACATGAAGCATCTCTTGATGTGGAGTCCAGTGATTGTGCCTGGAGAAACAGTGTACTATTCTGTCGAATACCAGGGGTGAGTTTTTTTTTTTTTTTTTTTTTTTAATAGTTCTTCTCCCTTAGGCAGAAGTTGGTTCCTGAAGGCATAGCCCTTCCTTCTGAGCCCAAGGTGGCTTTTTGAGCCCAGGGATAGATTATCCCCAATGATCTACCTGCTCTGCCTGCATAGGTATTGAAGGAGTTGAAGAAGCAAGGGAAATTGTTCTGTGGATTTGACAGTGAACTTTCTGGGAAGACAAATGTGCATAACACATTTTGGTGAAGCTCTTTTAAAAAGTGAGTCAGTTGTCCAGTGGGTTTGACTCTGACTTGAGATGGATAAATCACTGGAGACTCAGATCCTTTAAGGGTGGAGAAGTCCTTACTTTCCCTGACTTCATAAGCTTATCTCTAGGAGCCAAAACAAACTATGACCCTAAAAATCAGCTGGCCCTGGGACCAAGCAGGTTCTAGTCTTCTGCAAGTGTCCACGTGTTTGCAGCTATTGCTGGGCCAAAAGTACTTAACATTTTGGAGAAATGACCAGTGTGGCAAGAACATCACAGTTAGGAGCAGAGTGAGCGAGAAGGCCAAAGCATCTTGCAGGCTGCTGGCAAGAGTTTGGAACCCATTCTAAGTCCTGTAGGAAGCCATTCAGGAGAAAAGTGTTGTGATCTGCTGAGTGATGAACGGTTTCGAGAATGGCAGGTGTGCAAGCTGGGAGACCACAGCAAGGCAAGGAATGACAGCGGCTGAGATTAGGGTAATGACCCTGGAGATGAAGAAACCAAAGAGATCTAGACACACTGATGTTTATGCCTAGTTTTCCCTACCTGGCAATAAAAGGAGTAAGGGAGAATGGATGGTTGGTAGGGAGGAGAGCAGAGGAGCTAGGATAATGAGCAAGTACTTATTTTACTTACCTCTAAAAAGTAGGAGAATGAAGGCAGTTACTTGCAACCGTAACTGAGTCTGTGTCAGAGGGACTGGTGTAACTCTGTGCCTTCCTCTCCTTGACAGGGAATACGAGAGCCTGTACATGAGCCACATCTGGATCCCTAGCAGCTGGTGCTCACTCACTGAAGATCCTGAGTGTGACGTCACTGATGACATCACGGCCACTGTGCCATACAACCTTCGTGTCAGGGCCACACTGGGCTCACAGACCTCAACCTGGAGCATCCTGAAGCATCCTTTTAATAGAAATTCAAGTGAGGCATTTCTCTGCTTACACCCCATCCCCACAAGTCACCCCTTTAGGAACCATGTTCATCTAGACTGTGTAGACTCTTTTTAGTATCAAAATAGTCTTGCAAAGCCACAGTATTGTGAACACAAACAACCTTACTGGTACATTTGAAAAGTTGCCAGCTGCTTCCCACATGTTGCTCTCTCTCATGCCCTTTGACTTTGGAAGTCATTCCTGACTGTTTCTGTCAGGATATGCAGGTGTGGGGATGCTGACTTTGGGAACCTGGAAGGAAAGCTGCTCTGGAAGTGAGGAGATGGCACTAGGACTGCTACTCCCTACCCTGATTGTGTCTCCATAAATCTTACACTGCCTCCCACTTGATGCCTTATTAACTGCATATTTACTGACCTTGTAAGCAGCTTTGTTGTGCAAGAGGATTTATACATTTAACAGAGCCACCAGAACATTGCCCTTCTATAATGACTTCTGTGGGAAATAAATAACTTTTCTTTTGTAGTGGTACCTGGAAAAGGATTGAGAAAGAAGTAATAGAGGAATCCAGATAGGTGGCCAAATATGGCTATGTGCAAGCAATGGCCATTGTGTAAAAGGACGTGTTTGTTTGGGGAAGAGAGGCAAGGGCTGATGGGCAGTGGGAAGGGAAGTAGCTGATCTCAGACTCCTGAGCACAAGTGATTCTCTTTCCTCAGCCTCATGAAGTGCTGGGATTATAGGAATGAGCCATTGTGCCCGGCCATCACAAAGTTAACAGCTAAAGGCTTGGAAGTAGATGAGACTATCTAGGGACAAGATATTGAGGACAAAGAGAGGACAAGATCCTGGAAAACCTCAGGCTTTAAAATGTGGATGGAGGGCTGGCAGTTGTTGTAAAGCAGACATGGGTCATATAAAGATAAAGGAGTGCCTACAAAACTGTGTGGGCTGGGATGTTCTATAACAGCTTGTGCTTAACAAGGCCAGTATAAACAGGAAAAGAGCTTGCTGCAGGGGGAGCTGAGGAACAGCAGTCTGTACTTGCATCAGAAGACGGAAGATAGAGTTCTATGTGATCCCTCTGTGAGCCAAGCAAATGGGTTGGAATGGCATGATGATCTCTTAAGGGCATTAAGTTTGTCCTCTTCCATTTGAAAAGGCCACTCAGACTTCTCCCCAGGAATGTGAAAAATCTTGATTTAAGGATCTTGATCCTGAAAAGGATCCCTACTCTCTTTTTTCTTTCTTTTTTTTTTTTTTTTTTTTGAGATGCAGTTTCACTCTTGTTGCCCAGGCTGGAGTGTAATGGCATGATCGTAGCTCACTGCAACCTCTACCTCCTGGGTTCAAGTGATTCTCCTGCCTCGGCCTCCCAAGTAGCAGGGATTACAGGAATGTGCCCCTATGCTCAGCTAATTTTGTATTTGTAGTAGAGACAGGGTTTCACCATGTTGGTTAGGCTGGTCTCAAACTCCTGACCTCAGGTGATCTGCCCACCTTGGCCTCCCAAAGTGCTGGGATTGAAGGTGTGAACCACTATGCCCAGCTGAGGATCCCTACTCTTAAAGGTAAACTTTATTGAGAACAGAGGTTTTTAACTTTGACTGCACATTTGAGTCACAGGGGAGCTTTAGAATCACTTATGCCTGGGGCCCTTCCCCAGAGTCTGGTTTAAATGATCTGCATGCATTTTGTTCACTGGAAGTTTAAAATTCTCCCCAGATTATTTTCATGTACAGCTAGGGTTGAGATCCCCTAGTAAAGAGGCAAAATACCCCATACAGGGGAAGCAGAAATGTAGAAAGAAGTGGCCTCAAATTCTGCAGATTATGTGATTCTGGGCATGTCACTTAATCTCTTGTAAAACAGGAACAATGTTTACCTTCTAACACTTCCTGGGCAGATTAAATGAGATAAATATGCAGAATGCATAGGACAGAGGTTCCTGCCCCAACACTGTCAAACAAGTCTCCTCTGAACCTTAACTTCAGATTATTTTCTCTAATTCTGTTCTCAATGAAGATGGAGGTCAGAAGACCCAATTCAAATCATATTTGGCAGAAAAGTCGAGGAGTCAGATATCTCTTTTCCTTCTGAAAGTGTTTTGGAGGTAGTGCTAGTGGTGCTGTGTGCACATATGAAGCCTCTAGACTGAGTGTGTTTTGCACAGTTGGCCCTGAACTCCCAGGTCCTCCTGTCCCCTATCCAGGTAGCTTTCCAACAACCAGGCATATACACTTCTCTGATGAGGGAAGTGAGGAGGAAATGCTTTGTTCTCTGAAAACTCCCTCCAGGAACTGCCTTTCTTCTGAGTGTCCACCGACCCCAGGGGAGGCAGATTTAGCCCAGAACATACCCTACCCTGCTAACCCATCCAAGACGAATGATCAGGGTGGTCTTTCTGGTCCTGCAGTATCTGGATCTGAGAGGCAAGTTTTACTCCACTGCCAGTCACCAGGGAGTAGAGACTATCTGTGTGGGCCCTTCTGTTCTTGGTCTGCTGATAGGAAGGTATCCACAGGGGCTGTGGGCCTCTCTGCTTGACCTCGCAATATGAAAAGTGATGTTTGTGTTAATCTGTAATTTCTAGAGTTGATTATTGGAATTTTCAAAAAGCCTGTGGGCTGGGCTCATTGGCTCACTCCTATAATCTCAGCACTTTGGGAGCTCGAGACAGGGGAACTGCTTAAGCCCAGGAATTCAAGACCAGCCTGGGCAATGTGGTGAAACCCCATCTCTACAAAAAAAAAAAAAAAAAGCTGCATGTGGGGTGATGTGTGCTTGTAGTCCCAGCTACTTGGGAGGCTAACAGGGATGATTACCCAAGCCTGGGAGTTTGAGGCTACAGTAAGCCATGGTAGTGCCACTGCACACTCCAGCCTGGGTGACAGAGTGAGACCCTGTCTAAAAAATAAAAATAAAAAGCTGGTGACTTGCCAGCATCCCTTAATCAGGATATGAGATGAAAAATAGAATTGGGCTGAGAATAGAATGGCCAACCCATTCACAGGCTGCTAATCTGCTGATATGTCAAACTTATCAGTAGCCAATACATGCCACAGATCTATGTGAGCTATAGGAATGCATGTGCCCCTGCCAGGAGTGCTCATTCCTAAGGGTCAAAGACTGGGCCTGACTGTTCAGTATAGACCTGAGCTCACATATATTTGGCAAGCATTAAAAAATAGCATCTGCTCACTTAGATGAGCCAAAATGAGGAGCAATTTCTGCTGAAAAAGTGGTGGGAGGAGGGGCATGGATCATAAAATTTTAAAAGAGCAGGAGATAATGTTTACTGGAGTTTTTAATCACTTTTCTTGTGTATATGTGCCTACTGGAGAAGGAACAGTGGACTTCATTATAGTTAAAGGATTAAAAAGGAAGAGAATTATAGTATTTATCATTTGTTTTTTCATTCATTCATCACTCAAAAAGCATTTACTGAGCACCTGCTGAGTAGAGGAAAGTATTTCTGTACATGTTTCCATGTGCTTGAAGCTACAGCTGACTCCCTCCCTTCCCTACAGAGACTGACATATTTCCACTGATGACATGGTCACTGTGTTCCAGGGAAATCAGTCTTGTCTGGGACTGGCTTTGACTCTCCTATTATCTTGCCAACAGCCATCCTTACCCCACCTGGGATGGAGATCACCAAGGATGGCTTCCACCTGGTTATTAAGTTGGAGGACCTGGGACCCCAGTTTGAGTTCCTTGTGGCCTACTGGAGGAGGGAGCCTGGTGCAGAGGTGAGATCCTAGCCTTGGCCTTTGGGTCAGGCTTCTGTGAAGAAAGCACAGATCTCTGAGGGTGAGCAAGGGAAGCTGGCCCTTGCAGTGCTCACTGTCTGGGCAGCCTGGGGATGAGCCGTCCTGGGTGAAGTGTGCAAAAGATTAGAGTATGCTGACCACCCCATCAGCCTCTTCTCCAAAGAACTGCCTTGGTCCATTCCATGCCTTGGCTGGGAGCCCTTCCAGGCCAGATCTGCTGAAGTGTGGGGCTGCCCCCTGACCCTAAACTCTACCCTAGGTGGACCCACAATACCTTTTCAATGAATTTTTTTCTCCCTCCTCAGCTCATCTCCTCAGCCATATAGGGGCAGCAGTCAGGGTTTCTAGATCAACAGGATGATTTCAAAAGCACACAAGGCTGGTACAAACCTCCTGAGGGTGTATGTCTTGGCAAGGTGCAGAGGTAGAGGCAGGAGCCAGGAGCTGCTTATGAGTAAACCCATCTAACTATGAGCAGGTGAGCCATGCAGAATGCCCAGGTGGTTGCTGCCCTCTTCTTTGGAAGGGTGCTACAGCCTGGGATAGGTGGGAGGCCAGCCTTCACAGAGAGAATAACCAGACAAGCAGTGGCAGTACAAGGAGTGGAGCATGAGCAGGAATTAGGGGACACTCCGACCTGTGGAGCCTCTGTCCAAGCTGATATGGTGACAAAGCTTAGAGGCCCACTCCAGGTAGCACAAGCAAAGATAGGCTTTATCACAAGGATTAATACAGTACAATAAGGGGCTCTCGCAGATCTATGAACAGAGCTGGCACAGGGCCAGGCTGCAGCCTCGCTTAGCCATGGCCCTTGCTCCTCTCTGGTTGGTGCCCCTCTTGCACATTTTCTGTGGCCCCTTCCCAGCTTATTCCAGGCTGCGATGCCTCATTAGTGCTTCCTACTCATGCCTATGATGTGCCCCTGAGCCCCCTCAAAGCCTCTCAGGCCTGACTCCTCCTCACTGGGCCCTCTCTCCTTTGTCCCTGCTTCTCGCTCTCGGTATTCAGTTTCCCAACACCAAATCCTCAGAAGAATCCAGTTGGTCTTGCTTGTCTTATCAGGCCAAGCTTCAGGGGTTTCTGGTAACCAGCTCACCCCTGATTGGACCCTTCTCAGGCCAAGGGTACCCTTGATCTTATAGCAGTGTCTGGACTCAGAGCACGTGCCCCACCACCCATTCAATGAGGGCTGTAGGTTGGGTAGCTTCCATGAAAGGTGGTGTGGACAGGTATAACACTGGGTTCCAGTATTTACCCCTGCTAGGAAAGGCCCCACTGTAGGATATGAGATTGCCAGCCAGGAAGATGGAGTAGTGCTGGGGATAGGTCAGGGCCTGAGCAGGAGGAAGCATGTGGCTCCCTCAGATTCACTGGGATGGAGCCCGCTCCCCACCCTTGGTAACTGGCGGGGCTGGGGCTAAGAAAGGAGCATGTACCCTGAGTCATCTGGGCTTGGTCCAGGCAAGCCTCCACAGGCTCAGATGTAGAGCACAGCTTCAGGGAGGGGCATGGAGGTGGAAGTGTGAACAGATGGATGGACAGATGGGTGGATGAGTGAGAAGGTACTGCCCATGGCTCCACCGCACTGATTCCCTGGCAGCAATGGCCATGCCAAGCCCCTGCTCAAGTCAGATTTTCAACCTTCAGGTCTCTGTGTAAATGTTATCCTATCAGATAAGGCTTCTCTAACCACTCTGTTTAAAATGGTGCCTCCTCGTCACTTTGCTTTGCTTTTCCTTCACAGCCGTTATCACCACCTGAAGTGTATTTTTTTTATTGTCTGTCTCATCCCATGTAAGCTCTGTGAGAGCAAAGACTTTGTCCATTTTGTTCAATGCTAGGTCCCTGTGCCTAGAGCAGTGCCTAGCACATAGTAGGTGCTTAATAAATATGATTGAATGAATGAGTGCCTGAATGAATACATGCATAAGTGAGAGGGGACATTTGTGTGCATCCAGAAAGGAAGTATCTGCAACTTTCCTTCCCTGGCACTTTTTGCCCTTTCCAGTCCTGCTGCCTTCTGGGAATAACTGTGTTTTCTTTTCTTTTTCTCTCTGTCTTTTTTTTTTTTTTTTTTTTGAGACAGAGTCTTGCTTTATTGCCCAAGCTGGAGTGCAGTGGCATGATCTTGGCTCACTGCAACTTCTGCCTCCTGGGTTCAAGCGATTCTCCTGCCTCAGCCTTCTGAGTAGCTGGGATTACAGGCACCCACCACCACGCCCAGCTAATTTTGTATATTTAGTAGAGACAGGGTTTCACCATGTTGTCCAGACTAGTCTTGAACTCCTGACCTCAGATGATCTGCCCACCTTGGCCTCCCAAAGTGTTGGGATTACAGGTGTGAGCCACAGCACCCTGTGTTTTCTGTGTTTAACTGTGTTTTCTGGTCTCCCAAAGGAACGTGTCAAAATGGTGAGGAGTGGGGGTATTCCAGTGCACCTGGAAACCATGGAGCCATGGGCTGCATACTGTGTGAAGGCTCAGACATTTGTGAAGGCCATTGGGAGGTACAGCACCTTCAGCCAGACAGAATGTGTGGAGGTGCAAGGTAAGGATGGCTTCTCTCTCCCTGGAGTCCTGCACAGGTGATAGCCCCTCCTGGCATATCTCAGAGGCCTGCTGGGTTCCTTTGGTTCACTGACCTGCCTCACAGGCTGGGTAGGTTCCTGTGGTAAAAGTATGCCTGTCACTCTGATTCCCCTAGAGGCAGGAGTCCACCCTGGGTCTGGGTGGGGTTACTCAAGCAGCTGTCTGAAACACTTTCCCCCTTAAAGCTTCGTAGGCCTGGGGGCCAGATGTTGCAAGACTGGTTTACCAGATGGTTACTACCTGTGAATCAGAGCCTGCTGCAGGAGAGGCAGCCACAGGCTTCAGAGGGTCAGACCTTGGACCCTCTGAAGACTGTGGCCCACATTGTATAACACCACAGCTTTTTACATTGGGAAGGAACCTTAGGGAAAGTCTAGAGAATCCTCTTGTTTGAATTACATTTTTCTCTTGAATATTTTAAAGTCAGAAAACCTACAGTATTTAAAAACACTTTGAAAAGAAGCAAAACCAAACAAGACCTTACATCCCATGCTCTGTCACTCAAACATCACTAGTTACATTTTTGTGTATAGCTTTTTGGTCTTTAAAAAAGAGCTATTATCTTTTTAAAAAGACTAATTATTATCTTAAATATGTAGTATACTTATTTATTTATTTATCTTTCTAAAACAATTTATTTTATATGTACAGACAGGGTCTTGCTGCATTGCCTGGGCCATGGCCTCCCAAAGGACTGAGATTATAGGTGTGAACCACCACATGCGGCTCATTCAGCTGTAGTTCTGTAACATACACATTTTGTGCCTGCTTTTTCACAAATATCATATCTATAACATGTTTCATGTAGATTTCTTGATTACTATTTTACACTACTTTTTAAAATCGTGCAAGTCAAGCTTGCTTGACAATCCAAACAACAGCAAAACATGTAAAGTAAAAAGTAGGACCAGGCATGGTGGCTCACACCTATAATCCCAGCACTTCGGGAGGCCAAGGCAGAAGGATTGCTTGAGCCCGGGAGTTCAACACCAGCTTGGGCAACATAGCGAGACCTTGTCTCATGTTAATAAAAAAATAAATAAAGAGGTAAGTAAGTGTGCTCCATTCTCCTGCACACCACTCAGGAGGTTTCCTTTGGTGAGTCTGACGTTTAATCTTCCAGGGGTTATCTGTGTAATACCAATGTTCACATATACAGATGGGATGATATTGTACCTACTACTCTATACTTGGCTTGTCTTCACTCAGTAGTATATTGGGAACATCTTTTCATGGCAATACGTATGGATCTACCTCATTTTTAAAGGGCTGGGTGTGGTGGCTCATGCCTCTAATCCCAGCACTTAGGGAGGCCTAGGCAGGTGGATCACCTAAGGTCAGGAGTTTGAGACCAGCCTGACTAATGTGGTGAAACCCTGTCTCTACTAAAAATACAAAAATTAGCCAGGCATGGTGGTGCATGCCTGTAATCCCAGCTACTGGGAAGCTGAGGCATGAAAATCGCTTGAACCAAGGAGGCAGAAGTGGCAGTGAGCCAAGATTGTGCCACTGCACTCCAGTCTGGATGACAGAGTGAGACTGTGTCTCAAAAACAAACAAACAAACAAACCCAAAATACACAAACAAAACCCAAAGCACATGTATATGTCAATGTATGTAAATGAAAGGCTGTTGCTCTAGTTCAGATGTTGCTAAGAACTGATGTATATAATTGTTTCCTTCCTTGGAATTAGTTTTTGGAATTAAAATTTCAGGAGTTGGGGAGAAGTGGGGATATGGGCACAAAAAAACAGAAAGAATGAATAAGACCTACTCTTTGATAGCACAATAGGGTTGACTACAGTCAACAATAACCTAATTGTATATTTTAAAATAACTTAAAGAGTGTAATTGAATTGTTTGTAACCTAAAAGATAAATGGTTGAGGGGATGGCTGCCCTATTCTCCATGATGTGTTTATTTCACATTGCATGACTGTCTCAAAACATCTCATGTACCCCATAACTATATACGCCTACTATATACCTTCAAAAATTAAAAAAAAATTGCAGGAGTGGATGAAAGGGTATGAACATTTGTGTATCTCTTGATGTATACCCCCCAAATATTTTCCAAAACCATTGAAATAATATACAGTGCCCCTAGCCACAAGTCAACCAGCTATTCCAGTCTCATTGGCTGGGCTACCCTTCACATTGCAGGTGAGTAGCCTGGGCCAGAGAGGCTAATTGAGTTGCTCAAGGTTACACAGAACAGAGAGATGGGAAAATAACCTGTCCCCTCTTCCACATCTCCAGATGTTCAGATCTAACCTTTTCTGCTACATTTATTGGTAGAATGACTGTGAGCTTCAGAGCCAGTCCTACCTGGGTGACCTGGGGTGGGTCACTTAACCATTCTGAGCATAGATTCCTCTTCTATAAAAGCAGGGATACTCACATTCATTGTAAAGAACAAGCAACTACATGTCCAGTTCCTAGCATAGTTCTGGAAGGCCATAGTAATCCTAGCACACAAAATGGGGGCTTCATATCTTGTAGTTATTATCTGACTGTTTTTTGAGCCATTTCCTCTATAACATGAATCAATGCCAAGAGTGAATTGTGAAACACACTTTGTTTTGAGTTACCGCCCAGCCCCATTCTGTGCTGTTCTCTTTCAGTACCTCCCCCTCATCCTGTCCAGGGCCTGGCACTCTGCCTTCCTCCTGGCAGTGGCGCCAAGGTATGTGCTAACATAGCTGTTGGCTTCACACATGATGCTCCCCCCTTTCATGTCACAAGAAAAAGATTTTAATCTTCCCTGGGGCTTTCTGGAAGCCAGGCCTTAATCTGGATTCTAGAAAAATGCTTTTAATGGTGGTAATTTTGGTCACTAAAGCACACATCAAATCTCAGGATCTTGGTATCTGCCGTCTTGGTCAATGTGCAGAGTCAACTCCAGGAAACTGGGGAGGCTCAGGATTGAAGATTTAATCTTCACTGATGTTTTCTAAGCCTGTTTTTATCTTTTGTTTCCAGGAGAGGCCATTCCTCTGGCACTGGCCCTGTTTGCCTTTGTTGGCTTCATGCTGATCCTTGTGGTCGTGCCACTGTTCATCTGGAAAATGGGCCGGCTGCTCCAGTACTCCTGTTGCCCCGTGGTGGTCCTCCCAGACACCTTGGTAATAGACCTAGTTCTTTATTTCTTTCAGCATGACACTGACCAGATGTAGTTTGGGCCTCAGTTGGGCATGGGCACATATTTCCATGGTGGGATTATAGGCATCTCCACAGAGTGGGGAGAGGAATACTTGTAAAAGACTTCACTTCTAACTAGAGGTACTGGAATAAATCTCCTTTCTCCAGAGCATGGTGGCCTCCCTGAAGCAGGCCACCTCTGCTTTCTCCCAGGACCCGGGATGGCAAAGAGAGAAGATGTGTTACCCAGCCAGGATGCTTAGTATTGCAGGAGTCCTGCACGATCTTACCCTTCCAGACTGGCCTGCTGAGCATCTTGGCCTCTTCCAATTGTAACAGCAACTACACCCAATGACCTGTTCCAACACAACTTATTCAATTCACATGCCAAAGCCTCATTGTCCAGAGTGAAGAAGATGTATGTGGGAGGCATGGACTGTGCTTTGATCTTGGTGGGGTAGGGTGGGGTGGTGAAGGGACAGCAATCTGGACCTTCATAGTGACTGCCTGAGGTTAGGGAACCTTACCTGTATTCTCAAATCCTCATAAGGCCAGAATTCTTATCTTACTCCTGAGGGTCCTGGACCACAGGTCTGGGTCTCTGCAGTGGGTATAGGACCCATCCATACACCCATGCTGTGGTGGGGGAAACGCAAAAGCAGGCCTCCAACAGCTGCCCCATGTTCTCTGGCTGCCTCCCCAGATGTTTCCCCCCAGCCCCCAGACCTCAACCACACAAAGCCGTGAAACAAAACAAAACAAAAACAACAAAAAAAAAAAATCAAAAAGCTCCATCCCTGTCACCCTAGGGAATTCTCACAGTTCTCTCCTGGGAGGAGGGAGCCAGTGTCAGCTTCTGGAAAGCAACTAAAGCCAGAACTACCTGCAGCTTATACATGCCCATAGCTCCTTATCAGCCTGGAGTCACTCTGAAAGGAGTCATTCTTGGCTGGGTGCTGTGGCTCATGCCTGTAATCCTAGCATTTTGGGAGGCTGAGGTGGGTGGATCATGAGGTCAGGAGTTCAAGACCAGCCTGGCCAAGATGGTGATACCCCATCTGTACTAAAAATACAAAAAATTAGCCAGGTGTGGTGGCGAATGCCTGTAATCCCAGCTACTCAGGAGACTGAGTCAGGAGAATCACTTGAACCTGGGAGGCAGAGGTGGCATTGAGCCGAGATCGCGCCATTGCACTCCAGCCTGTGCAAAGGCAATAAGAGCAAAACTCCATCTCAAAAAAAAAAAAAAAAGGAGCCATTCTTGTGACATCTCTGTGGCCCTGCTTTCTCTCCCTACACAGGAGGAATAACTCTCCCTATAATTCAGTCTTTAGGACACCCCTCCACTCTGTTATCCTAATGCCAGATTTCCCTTCTCTGCTGTACTGCCAGGTAGCCATAACGACTTTAGCTGATACTAGTACAGGGCTAAGTGCCAGATACTGTTCTAAGGCTTTGTATTTATTGACTCATTTCTTGTCATAAAATAGCAGTGTCCTTGTGATCAGTTCCCCCCTCCATCCTTCTCTGAATGACTGAATGGCTTACTGTTCTGCATAAAGGCAATGGGATGTATCAAACACAGGGGAGCAGGGTGGGCCTTTATTATCCTTCAGCAAGAACTTGAGGGCCTCGAAGTCCCTTAAAGCATGAAAAGATATGTATTCTGAGTTATTGGGGGAGTGTCTTATAAATATCAATTAGGTCAAATGTTTCATGGTATTGTTCAGGTCATCTTTGTCATTATTTTTTTGTATAGTTGTTTAATATTGAGAGGAGGATATCAAAGTGCCACTATGAGTGCTGGTGTGTCTGTTTCTCTCTGTCTCTCTCTCTCTCTCTTTTTTTTCTGAGATAGAGTTTCACTGTTGTCACCAGGCTGGAGTACAGTGGCACAATCTCAGCTCACTGCAACCTCCACCTCCCTGGTTCAAGCAATTCTCTTGCCTCAGCCTCCTGAGTAACTGGGATTACCGGTGCCTGCCACCATGCCCGGCTAACTTTTGTATTTTTAATAGAGTTGGGGGTTTCACCATGTGTCCAGGCTGGTCTCAAACTCCTGACCTCAGGTGATCTGCCCACCTTGGCCTCCCAAAGTGCTGGCATTACAGACGTGAGCCACCGTACCTGGCCTGTTTCTCTCTTTATGTCAAATTTTCCTTACGTATTTTGAGGCTCTGTTTTAAGCATATTCACATTTTGACATTTAAATGTATTCATATCTTGTTATGATTTCTCAAGTAATGGAGTCTTTTATCATTATGATATGTTTTTCCTTATCTCTGATAATATTCCTTAGTGTGATATCAGTATATTCTTTTTTTGCGTTTGCTGTTTGTTTGGTATATCTTTTTTTTTTTTTTTTAACATATTTTTACTTTAAAGCTATCTGTATATTCATATTTAAGGTGTGTCTCTTATAGACAGCATATAGTCTTTTCTGTTATTATTTTTTTGTATAAATCCATCTGACCATCTCTACTTTTAAATTGGTATTTTTAGTCCATTAGCTTTTTTTTTTTTTTGAGATAGAGGCTCGCTCTGTCACCCATGCCGGAGTGCAGTGGCATGATCTTGGCTCACTGTAACCTCTGCCTCCCAGGTTTAAGCAGTTCTCCTGTCTCAGCCTCCTGAGTAGCTAGGACTACAGGTACATGCCACCACACCCAGCTAATTTTTGTATTTTAGTAGAAATGGGGTTTCACCATATTGGTCAGGCTTGTCTTGAACTCCTGACCTCAGGTGATTCACCTGCCTTGGCCTCCCAGTGTTGAGATTACAGGCGTGAGCCACTGTGCCCAGCCTCCATTAACATTTAATATAATGATATGGTTGAATTTAGGTCCACAATTTTATTTTCTGTTTCTTTTGTTTTTTTGTTTTTCTTTTTCTTTGTTTTCCCTCTGTTCTTCTTTTTATGCCTCTTTTTGGGTTAAAATTTTTTTTTTAATTTCACTTTAGTGACTTTTTAGTTATTCTTCTTCACATTGTTTTTTCATGATTGTCCTAGGAGTTACAATATACATATTCTTAACTTTTCACAGTCTACTTAGAATTAACATTATATCATTTCACATGAAATGTAAGAATCTTGGAGTAATTTTGGCTTTACAAAGTCATATATATTCTAAAGGTATTTAACATAATCTTTTATATTTACCCACATATTTACCATTTCTGGAACTCTTTCTTCTTTTCTGAGATCTGCATTTCCATCTGGTATGGCTTCCTGTTATTTTATAAAACTTCCTTTCGTTTTTTTTGGTTATAGGTTTAGTAATATAGAACTGCTAGTGACAAATTCTCTTAGAATTCTTTTATCTGAAAATGTCTTTCTTTTGCTTTCATTCTTGAAGGATATTTTTGCTGGATTCTTGGTTGACAATATTTTTTTCTTACTACTTAATTTTTATTTTAAATATTAATTACAACATTTCAAAAATAATGCAATTTTATTTTAACAGAGACTGTATCTTGCTATGTTGCCCAGGCTGGTCTGAAACTCCTGGGCTCAAGCAATCTTCTTGCTTGGCCACCCAAAGTGCTGGGATTTACAGTGGTGAGAGCCACTGCACCCAACTCTTTCACCACTTTATAGGTATTGTTTAATTGTCTTCTAGCTTGCATTGTTTCTGATAAGAAAACAGCCATGATTTTTTTTTTAACATCGTTCCCCTATGTGAAATGTGTTCTCTTTCTCTTGCTGCTTTTAAATTACCATTGGTTTTACCTGTTAAATTATAACATGCCTAGATGGGGTATATTGAGCTTCTTAAATCTGTAAATGTATATATTTTAAAGCTACAATTTGGAAAAATTTCAGCCATTTTTTTTCTTTTTATTTTTTTAGAAACCGGGCCTCACTCTGCCACCCAGGCTGGAGTGCAGTGGTATGATCATGGCTTACTGCAGCCTCAACCTTCTGGGTTCAGGTGATCCTCCCACTTCAGCTTCTTGATTAGCTGGGACAACAGGCATGTGACACTGCAACCAGCTAGTTTCTAAATTTTAGATAGAGACAGAGTCTTGCTGTGTTGTCCAGGTTGGTCTTGAACTCCTGAGTTCAAGCAATCCTCTTCTCTTGGCCTCCCAACATGCTGGTATTATAGGCATGAGCCACTGCACCTGGCCATGGCTAATTATTTTATTTTTTGCAGAGATGGGGTTCTCCCTATGTTGCCCAGGCTGATCTGGAACTCCTGGGCTCAAGTGATATTCTTCTGCCTTGGCCTCCCAAAGTGTTGGGCTTATAGACATGAGCACTCTTCCCAGCCCGTATTTCTTTAGTTTTTTTTTTGATCTCATTCTCTTCTCTCCTTCTGTGAGTCCAATTTTATTTATGTTAGACCTTCAGATATTGTCTCCATTGATTCCTGAAGCTCCATTTATTTTTATAAAAAAACTTATTTTCTTCTTCTTTATTCTTCAGATTGAATAATTTTATTAACCTATCTTCTTGTTCACTGACTCTTCTGTTATCACCGGTCTGATTTTAGGCACATCTAGTGAATTTTGTATTTAAATTACAGATATTGTATTTTTCAATTCTAGAATTTCCATTTGTTTCTTTTTTATAGTAGGTATCTGCTGATATTTTCTCTTTGCTCATTTATTATGAGGATATTTTCTTCTATGTCTTTGAGCATAATTTTAATGACTTTGTCTGCTTTACTTTAAAATCTTTGCTAATTTCACTAGGTGAGTCATGTTAAGGTTGGCCTCTATTGATTGTTTTTTATTGGTATAGGTCACATTTTCCTACATTTTGTATGTCTAGTGATTTTGGATTATAGTCTGGATACAGTCAACAATATGTTATAGAGATTTTGGATTCTGTTATGTTTCTCTGAAAACCATTGATTTTTTTTCCCTTTGTTTGCTTTAGTAAGCAGTGAGTTTGGATGAAAGACTCAACTTTGGTCTCCTATGCATTAGGCAGTTGATGTCGATTAGACTGTTTAGCCTTAGACAGACTGGTAGGCGCTTTCCCCACACCTGCACCCCACACAGTTCAAAGGTCAATCAGAGATTTGAGCAGAATTTATGTACAAAATTTGTAGCTCCCCTTTTCTGGCTCTCTCCTTTTTGGGATGTTTTTCTCTTACTTTCTAACTTCTGAGTTTGCACCAGTCTGTTTTTTTGCTTTTTAAAAACAGTAAGACTGTGACTCTTTATGGCACCAGGTGGAACTTGCCTTCAGGCAAGGAGCTGTGAAAAATGGGAAACTCATCGAGTGACATTCTCTTCTTCCAAGCATGAACTTTCAGTTGCTCTGCCATGCTTTAAGGAATCTGTTTTTAATATCTGGGTCAGTTTTAAAAGTTGTTACGTGAGGAGTGTTGGTCAGATTGGTGCTTCTCTGACATAAGTAGAAGTAGACAACTGCAATAAAAGAGGAATTCCTTAATCTAATCCAAAGCAATGGTAATGGTAGGGAGCATTTCTGGCTGAGGCACGTCAATAGCGCCTCTTTTTCAAAATGGTAAAAAACTCAGCCTTCCTCATCTGGGCTCTACCAGGTGGTCTTCTGTTGTGATTTCTCTCTTAACTCTGCTGCCCATGCTTACCCTCAGTCTGTCTTATTTTCTCTCTTCTAATTCTGTCAGGGGGATAGAAGAGTTTTTCTCCCTACCTCAAGATCAGGGGTATGAAGATCTTCCCAAGACCCAGTGCCTTGTTAGTGAGGAACAGGGAAATAACCATGTAAAGGGTCAATAACTTACAGGATTTCAGGTACACAAGAAGAGTCCTCAACTGGTAAGATCTCCTGAGAATCCTGATGCATCTTGAGCCACATCCTAAAATCAGCTTTTAGAGGAAACGAAATAGCTTAGATGAGACCAGAGACTGGAAGACTCTATGACAGTATGACCAATTTCATCCACGGCAGATAAACATCACCACCCTCGACTACCTTTTGCTTCCTTGTTCTCTGTTACCATTTTTCCTACATCATTCTGATGTCTGTTCCTACATCATTCTGATGTCTGTTCCTACATGCATTCCCTTCCGTAAGGCTTTTAACTTTTATTCCTATTTCACTCCAAGATTTTCAAAGTGGACAAATTTCCCCACAGTGCTGTGTGAGAGGCAGATCACTAGTGTCCGTTAAATCGCAAACACGTTCTTGAGCTGTGAATCAACATGACCACCTCCCCTCTCTCTGCCATGACTTTGGCATAGCCTAGCTGCATTTCTACATTTGTGTTTTTTACAGATAATTCTCCAAACTATTAAAAAGTGATTTCTAGCCATCCTTGCAAAGTCAACTCATCTTTCCAACTAAAGCATGGAAAATTACCAATCAGAAATCTCTGACAATTCTTCAAAACGGTCTGCTGAGTTTGTGTTTAAATTGGAAACATTTCGTGTTTGCATCTAAAATTTTATAGTAGGTGATAGTTGTTCTCTGAAATGTGACATTAAGATTTTTTTCCATTAAAGTTTATATCACCAAGTTAACAGTCTAAAGCAAAACTATATATGCAAGGAAAATTATATTAATTCTGCCAAGTATATATTCTGTGTTGAAAAATATAGTTGATTTTCCTTGTCTTTCATCCATAATTGCTTCCTGGGCATGGGTGCTTTGGTGCTAAAGGGTCTCTGTTTCTTTCCTGTGACTCACTTTATTCTTTCTTTTCTTGCTGTCACATTCTACTGTAATGTGGGTAGCAAGCATAAAGATGGCCCAGATTAGTAATTCTTCAGTGAACCATCCAAGTATGACCTTGTGTGCTTCATAGAAAGTGGAGTTTGTGAACTCAGGTGCCTCTGAGTCCACACGGGTACTGGAAAGAAGAAAAATAAATGAAAAAGGAAAGAATGTTCAGTGCAATGAATGTAGCTCAACAGGGAGGGGGTGGGGGATCATGGCAAATATGTTTCATCTTCTCAGCGACTGCAGGTTGCTAGCAAGAGGAGGTGTGAGCCCGTGCTGCCAGATCTCCAGGTTTTAAATGAGAAGCCCAAAAATCCAGATTTGTATGAGATCTCTTGATTTTTAAATGTTAAAAATAAATTCATTGGCCGGGCGCGGTGGCTCAAGCCTGTAATCCCAGCACTTTGGGAGGCCGAGGCAGGTGGATCACGAGGTCAAGAGATCGAGACCATCCTGGTCAACATGGTGAAACCCCGTCTCTACTAAAAATATAAAAAATTAGCTGGGCATGGTGGCACGTGCCTGTAATCCCAGCTACTCAGGAGGCTGAGGCAGAAGAATTGCCTGAACCCAGGAGGCGGAGGTTGCGGTGAGCCGAGATCGTGCCATTGCACTCCAGCCTGGGTAACATGAGTGAAACTCTGTCTCAAAAAAAAAAAAAAATAAAAAATAAAAAAATAAAAATAAAAAATAAATACATAAATTCAAATTTTACAAATCTGCCCAGCTTTGCTTCAAAATTAGTTCTAAACTGTGGGACCACAGTTTTGTACCTTCCAAAATTCTGAGATTTTGCTGTTTGTTTTACTTTAATGTGCTAGAGCTGCACTGTCCAATACAGCAGCCACTGGTCATATGTGACTGTTAGACACAGAAATGTGGCTTGTCCAAATTGAGATGTATTGTAAATATAAAATACAGAATGGATTTTGAAGACAGAATAAAACAAGAATATAAAATATTTGTGTCATTTAAAAAAAAAATTTTTTTTTTGAGACAGAGTCTTGGTTTGTTGCCAGGTGCCAGGCTGGAGTGCAGTGGTGTGATCTCAGCTCACTGCAACCTCCGCCTCCCGGGTTCAAGCAATTCTCCTGTCTCAGCCTCCTGAGTAGCTGGGACTACAGGTGTGCACCACCACGCCCAACTAATTTTTGTATTTTTTAGTAGAGACGGGGTTTCACCATGTTGGCCAGGATGATCTTGATCTCTTGACCTTGTGATCTGCCCGCCTCGGCCTCCCAAAGTGCTGGGATTACAGGCGTGAGCCACTGCCCCTGGCCTTCTGTTATTTTTAAGTGACATGTTAAAATGATATTTTGGATATATTTGTTAAATAAAATGTATTATTAAAATTAGTTCACCTGTTTCTTTTTACTTTTAAAAATGTGCTACTAGATTTAAAAAATTGCATATGTGGCTCACATTATACTTCTATTGGACAGCACTGTTCTGGAATTTAAAAAATAATCAAGTATGGCCGGATGTGGTGGCTTATGCCTTTGGGAGGCCAAGGTGGGCGGATCACCTGAGGTCGGGAGTTCCAGACCAGCCTGACTAACATGGAGAAACCCTGTCTCTACTAAAAATACAAAATTAGCCAGCGTGGTGGCGTGTGCCTGTAATCTAGCTACTCAGGAGGCTGATGCAGGAGAATCGCTTGAACCTGGGAGGAAGATGTTGCAGTGAGCCAGATCGTGCCACAGCACTCCAGTCTGGGCAATGAGAGAGAAACTCTGTCTCAAAAAAAAAAAAAAAAAAATCAAATATGACCACTGCAGATGTATGGAGTGAGTGTCCTGAGAACTTGTAAATAAGGACGAAGGAAGACCGGCTCAATGAAGCTGATGTCTCCTGGGGAACTGAGGTGGAGGAAACCACTGAGCCTATTTGTGCCCATGTGTCACCCTTGGGAGTGATGAGGGGAAAGGCTGAGAGAGATAACTGTAGAAGAACCTAGAGATTTTGGCAGAGGTGAGCAGGCGAGTAACAGGTGGGAGAGTCCACTGGAAAAGTTGATGTCTGCATGTTTATAACTAGTAATGACTATGTAATGGGGCCACTCGGAAAAGATGGAGGGAACCTGAAATATGAGTAAGGAAGGGACTCCTGTTTATGGAACATCCTCTGTGTATTGGGCACCATGCTGGGTGGCATTCATAAAGCATCTCAGACCAGGTCATAATTCTCAGAGCTCTCTGGTGGAAGATGGTTAGGGTTTTGTTGTTGTGGTTGAGACAGGGTCTCGCTCTCATACCTAGGCTGGAGTGCAGTGGAGTGATCAGAGCTTACTGCAGCTTTGACCTCCCAGGCTCAACTGATCCTCCTGCCTCAGCCTCATGAGTAGCTGGGACCACAGGCATGCACCACCACACCTGGCTAGTTTATTTTTTGTGGAGAGAGAGCCTCACTATGTTGCCCAGGCTGGTCTGTAACTTGTGGGCTCAAGCAGTCTGCCTGTTTCAGCCTTCCAAGGCAGGAGTGAGCTATCAAGCCTGCCTTTAAATTTTTTTTTTTAAACCAGAATTACATTTTGGGTTTTTGTGGGGCAGAATCTTAGAGTGAGGAGTTCTGACCAAGTAGGACTTCAAAGGAACTGTATGTAGTGAACAGGGAGATAATCTTAGCAAATGTTGGAAGCCACTGATCTGAGGAGGAGTTGAAATTGTTTTTTGGTTTTTGTTTTGCTGCTTGGAAATTAATTAATCAAATAGTTAAAATTTTAATAATGTTTTTTACTATTACTACTACTATCCTCTAATGAATATTAATGAAAATTATTTTTCAGAAAATAACCAATTCACCCCAGAAGTTAATCAGCTGCAGAAGGGAAGAGGTCCATCCCTGTGCCATGGCCGTGATGTCTTCTGAGGAAATCTTCAGGTCCTGGATCTCATAGGCTTGGGGAAGGGCCCAGGTGAAGCTGAGAACCTGGTCTGCATGACATGGAAACCATGAGGGGACAAGTTGTGTTTCTGTTTTCCTCCACCAACAAGGGATGAGAGAAGTAGGAAGAGCCTGTTGTCTACACGTCTAGAAGCATCCATCAGAGGCAGACTGGTTTGTCTAACAGAGCACTGACTGGGGGTTAGGAGATGTGACCTCTAGGCTGAGGGCTGCCATTTGCTGGCTGAGCAACCCTGGGAAAAGTGAATTCATCCCTTCGGTCCTACGTTTTCTCATCTGTAATTGGGGAATTAACTACACACCTGCTAAACACACACACACACAGAGTCTCTCCCTATATATATATACACATGTACACATATATACATCCTACACTTTCGAGGCTAGAGGGAACTGGTGACATTCTACAGTCTGACTAATTCTGTGTTTCTGGAGAGCAGGATGCAAATGTGTGGTAAGAATGATCAAAGACTCTACACACTGGGTGGCTTGGACAGCCCACGTTCCCAGAAGAATCCTTGAGAGAAAAGGAAGAATGGGAGCAATGGCGTTGATTTCACTTCAAGCCAAATGCTGGTGCAGAGGTGAATGGCTCAGCGAGCACTACAATAGGTGACCTGGAGGAAGGTCACAGCTGCACTGAAAATGGGATGTGCGTGAACACAGCGGATCCATGAACTACTGTAAAGTGTTGACAGCGTGCACACTGCGGCCAGCAGGTGACGTGTGTGTGCAATGCGATGAGAATGCAGAAGTCAGTAATGTGGGCGATGTTTGTTGTGCTCCTTTTTTCCTGTAGAGCTGCTAAAGTACAGAATTTAGCAAATAAAAAGGGGCCACCCTGCCCAAAAGTGTCTTTAAAGTTCTAGGTACATTGTCAACTTCAAGTCCAGAGAGGTTCCAAAGGACACCTTTGGTCAAGAGGACTGGGGGTGGGGGAGGAGGCGGGGGAGGAGCAGCCCCAGGAGTCCAGAACCCGGGGCTGCATGAGAACCCCAATTGAGGCAGCTAGCATAAGCCTCACCTGGTCAGGGTGACCCTGGGCCTTTCCTGGAGGTCCCACCCCACAGGAAATCCTTGGGGGACCCTCTTTTCCTTGACAGCTTACTCAGGGTATCTCAGCCCCTCTTAGTCTACTCATTTAGGACCTATCTCTGGAAGCCTCTACCCACCCCTCTCCCCTACCAGGTAAAGAAAAGAGCCAACCGCAGAGAAGGAATGGGGGAGGAAACTGGTTGAGGGGTGAAGGGATTGATGAGCAGGGCCTGCACCTTGCCTTCTAACCCTCTCAAAGCTCAGGAGCCTGAGTTGGTTTATCTCCATCCCCGCTTCCTGGGCTTTTTCCAGCCAGCCCAGTGGTGGGACAGTCTAATTGCATCAACTGAGTGTTTTCCAGAGGCCACAGCCCTTCACCACCTGGAGGGGTCTCTCCAGGAGCATGAGATCGCTGAAGACCTGTTCCTTCCTTTCCTTTGATTATCTTGTATACTTCTCTGTGTTGTCTGTTAGAGTGTGTGCTAATTTTATATTTGACCTAAACTGGAAACACACTTTCAGTTTGCAAAAACAAAGACCATATTTCTCTACCAGTCATCACCCTCCCTCTTCCCTCTTCCTGCCCCCTTATGGTAGGGTGGTGAGGGGCACTATCCTTCTGCCCCAGCGCAGGCCCAGAACCAAGAAAGGACCCCACCTCCCTCTGCTTGAGTCTCTCACAACTAGTCCCAGTGCCCATCCGTTTGTTGGCATGTGTAGGTATACAGAAATTTCTCTTGATTCTTCTGTTGTCTCTCCATGTCCTGAACATGCATTTATGGTGCCCCAGCCATGCACCAGACCTGCCAACCCCCACTTGTGGAGGGGCTGCCTTCTCCACAGCTGACCGTTCCCTCTCCCCTGGAGCACTTCTATCCTGAGTCCCAGCCCTCCCCCTCCCCCTCCAGTGCATTTATCCCTACGGCTGGACACTCACATGAGTGAAAAGGAATGTGATTCATATTTACAGCAGGACTGCAGCTGTAAACTGGAACTTCTCTGGGCAAACCAGGAGCCGGGTCACCCTCATCATAAGGCACAGCTTCCTGCCACACGTTTTTTCTAGAAGCTCCAACCTTCCAGTTGCCCAATCACTGAGTCTAGGGGCCCAGGCTCAGCACTACTGGCTTGCTTTGTTTTCACAGCCTCTCACTGAGTCCTGCAGGAATTGGGGGAAGTACTTGTGGTGGTGGTGGTCGGGGGAAATGAGTATCTGGGGGCAGCCTAGAGCGGCTTCTGCTGTTTCAGAGAAGACTGTCTCTTGCAGCCTGACCCAGTAGAGTCCCCTTGGCCCCCAGAATCAAGCCCAGCTTTCTTAGTCCTGCCTTCAGGGTACAACTGCTAGGGCCCAGTGAATAAAATCCCTGCTCCACGAGGCTTACACTCCAATGGGGTAAGGGCAAAGTAATAACACAATAACAAAGTATTATTATTAAGTGAATTAGTATGTTGGGAGTTTGTAAGTCACGGTAAAATAAAAGGTAGAGCAGAAAACAGGGGCTGAGGGGAAGCTGCAGCGTCTTCACAAAGAAAGTGGAGGAAACAATGGACCCAAAACTATCTGTTGGATAAGTCCCCGCATAGCCACATGGTGTGAGAGATCATGAGTGATTATAGAACAAAGTAACTTGGCGACAGTGGCCAGAAAAATGGAGTTGAAGTAAAGTGAAAAAGAAAAAACAAACAAAAAAACCAAAGTAACTTGGCAACAAATCCTTAGGTGTATGTAGTCTAAAACAAAAACTTTATTCAGTATTGTAGACTCCCAATTTGAGTAAGAACAGGGCACTGTTGGAATGGAATCAAATATATTAATATGAAGTCATGACTTTATGAAACATTACATTAAAAATATTTTGACTTTTTTTTTCCACTGAAATGGCCCAGAAGAAATGTCACCTCCATAATGCATCTTAATGCTAAGATTTTGGTTTCTAGTGTTAGTTTTCTCTCAAAGGAGCCAAAGTTTCTTGGCACCAATAGTGGATGCCATGTCAGTTTGGGGTTGAAAGGTACAAGGTGATCCTAGAATGCTTATACCTTTTTTGGACAGAAAGCAAAGTGCTAAATAAGGGTCATTCAAAATTACACAAGGAACAATCTATACAGGGCTCCCCCTGGCCAAAGCTGGGACAGTATAAGCACCAGAAGGAGAATATTGGCTGGCACAATTGATACCATACATTTGAAAAGTCATTAGTCCATGGTACCCAACAAGAGCAAAGCTACCACAATGCATTCTCAGAGAAGATGAATCTGATAGAATGCATTTCTACTTGTTATTCAATCCTGCTGGGCTTACTGACTCATTTATCGTGTCAATGAAGAATTCCAGTAAATGAAAATCCATCAGTCAGAAGGCATTTCTTCTCCTCTAAAGGCTCCTCTCTGCCCCTTAACGTCTTGGCTCTCCTTGTCCTGTCAAGGGGTTCCATGGAAAAGTCTTTTAAGTTCCCTTCACAGAAGGATTGCAGACTGCTGGTCTAGTCTCTGGGCCAACCCTCCCCGTCTCTTTAATAAAGACGTTTTTTCTTATTTTCCGTGTGCTGTATATTATTCTTAGGCTAGAGTAACTTTCCACAGGTGCAGACCTCTCGGTTTCCTTTGAATTTGGAGGGCTTGGGGCTTGATCCCATCGCCAGCTTCTGGAGCCCACCAGGAGGGGAAGACCCCATTACATCCACGGGTGTCTGGCGCCACCTTGTGGTAAGTGGTGGGATTTTTTTCTGTTCCCCCTCGCAATGAAGCTCCTTGGGCTTCCTGGATGAAGAAAGGAAAGCTCAGGCCGGTTTCCTAGAATAATAACTCAGTAACACAGTTTCCACGGACTTGGTCCTTAACAAACTTCCACTGTCACTGGTGGAGTTAGAATTTAGCAACCACCCTCTCCTTGCTCTGTGTCTGTATCTGTCCCAAGCTCATGATTTGGGGCTTCACGCTATATCCATGGCTCTCCCTCCCTGCTGGGACCTTGGCCTCTCTCTGTCTGTTGATCTCTCCTACACGCTGCCATTCCCTACCTCTCAGAAGTAGACTTTTTTTAAATGTTTTTTTCCCTTCTGTGTGTCCTATTTCTAGGATCCCTTTACTAGACGGACTTTCCAGGGGTGTTCCTCAGCCCCCGCACAGGTCAGTAGGGAGGAGTCAGCCTGCTGCTTGTTCATGTTGAACCAGGGTGCTGCCCAGCCTGTGAAATTTGGAATTGGAACACTAGAGTTGGCCCCAAATTACAGCTTTTTCTTCTGGCTCCTGGGACTCCCAGGTTCTTCAGCAACAATAACAAAACCTGGAAAAACGTATCCTTGCCAGAGGTGGGAGAAAGAATGATCCTCACAAAAGGATCTTTCTTGTCTTCCCCAGCAAGAGGTTGCAAGACCAGGTTGTGGAACCCCATTAAGGACCTTGGAGAAAGAACTGAGCAAGGAGCCTTCTCAGGGACCTGCAAACATCTCCACGAGCAAAAGTATGAATCCTCATATAGTGGAGGAAGTACATGTTCCTGGTTCCTTCACTGGACCTCACTGAAAAAAATCAACAACAACAACAACAACAAAAAACTACGTTAAATAAAAAAACCCCTGGCGGCTGGGTGCGGTGGCTCACGCCTGTAATCCCAGCACTTTGGGAGGCCGAGGTGGGCGGATCACCCGAAATCAGGAGTTTGAGACCAGCCTGACTAACATGGTGAAACCCCCTCTCTACTAAAAATACAAAAATTAGCAGGGCGAGGGTGTGGGCACCTGCAGTCCCAGCTACTTGGGAGGCTGGGGCAGGAGAATCGCCCAGGAGGCGGAGGTTGTGATGAGTGGAGATTGCACCATTGCACTCCAGCCTGGGCGACAGCCAGACTCTCTCTAAAAAAGAAACAAACAAACGCTTTTGGAGAAACGAGTGCGTGAACAAACCTCAGTAACTTCTACCTTTTGCTTCTGTACTTAAAACAGCTCCTCTAGGAAGTGGCCACATGCCTCCAAATTTCCTGCAGATGCCAGCCAGTCTTCTATGAAATTAAGTCTACAAAACATCATCTTGAGTTTCTGGCCCTAGGAGATCATAGCTCAGAAGGTAAGCCCCTCTGATGTCATTCCACCTGCATTAATCACGAGGACGAGCTTTCCCAGGTGAAGCCATTTCATTGACATTAACTGCTCACTGTCTCACTGGAACTTTTTCTCTCTCTCTCTTTTTTTTTTTGAGATGGAGTCTTGCTCTGTTACCCAGGCTGGAGTGCAGTGGTGTGATCTTGGCTCACTGCCACCTCTGGGTGCAAGCAATTCTCCTGTCTCAACCTCTGAGTAGCTGGGATTATAGGTGCTCACCACCACACCCAGCTAATTTTTGCATTTTTAGTAGAGACGGGGTTTCACTATGTTGCCCAGGCTGGTCTCAAACTCCTGGCTTCAAGTGATCTGCCTGCCTCGGCCTCCCAAGGTGCTGGGATTACAGGCGTGAGTCGCCACCAGTGTTTTAAATGAAGTGTTTCAGTTTAGCTGATGGCAGCAAATAGATGCTGAAATTTAAATATAAGTAACATGAACAACTCAATTCTATTTTATTTTTCAAATAAAAAGATCTGTCCATTTGCAAAGAGCTTGGAGTGTTCTAATTAAAATTATATTAAATTAGAATTGATATTCAGAGACATCAGGGTATCGTCTGCTTGAAAAGCTGTCCTCCCAACAAATGAGGGGACTATAAATGGTTAGAAGTCTGACGTGCTGGATTTAAAAATATCTTTATGGAGTATGTTTTATTGATTTTTAGCCATACAGACTGGGTGATTCTGGATGTCTGTGTGTGGGATCAAAAAGTATATGAATTGAACTGTTTTTAAACCAGTAATTCTCTGTGCCTTATTCCTTTCTTCCCTTTCTTCCTTCTCTGCCCATATTTCCTTCCGTCTTCCTTTCTTTCTTTACTTTTCCCGAAGAGTTTAAACTCTGAAGAAGTTTAACTTTGGGTTGACAAGGGCAAGCCTCAGGTTAAAGAACTGATTAAAAACTTGGGCATGAGGTGTGGGTCTCAACATGTTGCTTAAAAACAAACAGCCCAACTTCCAAAGACGTGCATGGTGTTGACTGTGGCAGGGTGTATGAGAAGGTAGGGCCCAGGCTTTTCTTTGGCTAATGACTCATTTAAAAACTCATTTGCCCCCTAAAACACTTATTCCAAAATTGGAATTTTTAAATTAAATGCCATTTAAAACTTCAGAAAGGCATTAAAATCCTGATAATTGAAACAGATGATATGTCAATTCACCTTTTAAATTCAAAGAATATAATTCAGAGTAAATCATAAAATTAGGGAAGGATTTGGATTTCTTTGCTAACATTAAAATTTAGCTATTGCATAAATGTGAACTATAATTGTAAACACTGGAGTATTTTACAAACTGGTTCTATTGGAATCCATGTAGTCTGGAAACTGTATGATTCTGTAAAAAAGTTTCCACTTGAACTTTCTGGCAATAGTTGAAGGTAAAATAATCTGATACACTTTCCTGTCAATAAAAAATTAATCATCATATAATTGGACATATTTACTTATGTTT